GCGTCAGGGGCCTTGACAGGTCCGCCATTGCGTGATAGTGAAATGCAGCAGCAGCAGATAAGTGCAATATAGGGAGGTCTGGAATAGGAGGAGCCTGGCAGTGAGAGAGCCGCCCGTAATATTTCTAGCAGAGGCTGGTCTAGGCGTCCCAGTCCGTAGAATTTAGTCCGATTGGAGTCAAGGGTTGAGATCTGTACGTGTCTAGCTAGCTTTAGAACTTGAAGGTGACTTCTGAGCCGACTCAAAGGTCAGTCAGACTTGAGATCTGAAAGGATTGAGACAGCTAGCTCGAGAACTTGAAGCGAACACATGTTTCACTGCCAGCCTGGAACAGCTTCTTTATGCCACTAATGGGTTGAAAGCAGCGGGCCTGCGTATCCGAATCAGTGTCCCCAAAATCGTTTCGGTGCAGCATCGCAGCAAAAACGGAAAAAGCATTCGAAGCAGCACTGTGAGCTGCTTTTGTAGTAGATCGAGATGAGAGATGCCTCTGATGGAGGGGGATACTCCAAGACTGGACATTTGTAAGCCGGATTAAGCTGGTTGGCAGATCGGAAAGAAGGGGATGTGAAAGCGTCATGTAGGTTTGGTGTGTGCGGTATCTCCAACAAGGAATTATTCGTACAATAAGATCTTTTGCAGCATCGATGGTGACCTCGTTTCATGACGCCTCGGAACAACTTGACGAAGTCCGCATCACACGGAGGGCCCTCCACACCGTCAAGTAGTAACGATGATCGCCTCGCCACGCACGACGCCTCACTTTTTTCAGCGGAGGCCACGCCAGATGTGCCATGGCGAGCCGCCGAATGTTCTAGAGAACGGGCCACACGACAAAGAACTCGCAGGACCAAAAGGACAGCTTGCTACAGTAAACGTGACTGCACGTGCGGATCCTCCACCCGTAACAACGACGAATACCGTGCTCCAGCCCTGCATTGCCGTGGTTCTCGACCATCCCAATGGCAAGCAAATGCAGCGACGCTGCTTACTGAAGATTGAAAGTGGGTAGCACAGACTATTTCGGCTTGCTATGAAACTTCCGAGTCTCGAGAGATGCTCTGTTCAACCACGCAGTTGAGCGGGCCTGACGCTCACTGCTCATCCAGCGCAGCAAGGTGCGCAAGTCAGCGTGTGAGCAAACACGCCGAGGGAATCGAAGCTCAATCAACGTGACCAAGAATCAGAACATGGTACAGCAACCTGACTGCATTCTAGACTCCTAGGGTTTGTCGTGGGAAATTCCGATTGGCCCTATTGACGCGCGTGCGCGGAAAGAGGGATGGAGGAGGTGAGATGTGGGCGGTGGGCGGGGGATGGATGGGAGGAGCTGTGGGTGTCGGAGAGGTTCGAGGGGCGGGAAAGGGAAGGGAGAGGGGGAAGCGGAAGGGGTATGAAGCAAGGAAAGGGGAAGGACACTATGTTGGAGTGTGGACCAAACCAACGATGATGAAGGAGGACACGTCGAGAGGCTCGAGACGATCCGGTATGAGATGGGAAAGCGGTTCACATACACGGCTAGCTAGCCATTGGTGTACCTTGTTCATTATCTATGGATAGGCTTAGTCCGTCAAGCGATTGAACTAAAATATTCCACGTTCTCCCAAGCATATTTCCCCCTTCTTCTCTTGGCTACAGCTCACAAGCCGACTTCACGGATCCCACATCAACAACCAAGGTATATTTCCTTGTTTGTATTACCGTAAGCCCCCGGATAGAAGCGCAGGCCTCGGATAAGCGCCGACGCTTATAAAAGGATGAGGGCGCTTATATCCGCTCCTCGATTATAAGCGCATGCTTCAAGCCTTACGGATTATAAGCGCACCCCTACTACCTTACACATCATAAGCGCCACCATTAAAATTTTACATTTTTAAGTTTTACGCTGTTACAATTTGTATCCTACATTTTCTCTTAATATCTGACTACATTTTCTATCAAATTTTCACGTCCTACACATTTCTACTTTACCCACAACCTATGCATCCTCCTCAGCAGTGGCACTGCCTTCGTCGGCGGTCTCACCGTCCGACTCTGGCTCGTCTACGGTGTTGCAGCAGAATCCATCTGCTGCAATCTCGTCGTCAAGATCCACTTCGCCTTTGACGGCATCCCGCAGGTGCTGCAGGCAGAGACCGTCCTGAGACCCGTCCAAGGCGTTACTGATGCCGCAGGTCAGAAACGAGCGCTCAATCAACTCCTTGGGCACCGCCTTCCAGGCCTTGGAGATCCACTTGAGCGTCAGTTCAGGTGGTGGCTTGCGGATGTTGCCTGCCACACGTTAAAGATTCATCAGTTACGGTAGAACAGGGTCAATAATTGAAAAACAGTCCTACCGGTAAATCTTAAATCTCACCTCTTTCAGTCAGGCAGTCAACACCCTCGCTCTCGAACCATTGCTGGTACTGTTGTCGCACAGCTGCTTTGAAGGAGCGGTTCACCGCGACGTCCAACGGCTGCACCTCCGATGTGCAGCCAGCTGGTATGACGGCCGGCACGATACGCAGCTCGCCGAATTTCGCCTTCACTTGATCAGTCAGGTGCCCGCGGTAGGAGTCAAGCACCAACATCGCCCTCCTGCTGCGCACTCCGAACCTCGGGTTGACGTACGGGCCCACCGTACCGTCGAGCCACGCGAGGACGCCTTCCGCGTCCATCCAACCGTTGGGATGTGCGGCGACCACGACATCTGCACATCCAAACAACGTTGAGATTGACATCAGAAAAAAAAAAAACACATGCAAATCCTACCGGGACTGCACAAGCTGCTCGGCTTACCGGAGGGGAAATTCCCCTTTGGAACTGTCTTGCGCTTAAAGAACACCCAGGGCTTGAGCTTCTCGCCGCTAGCGGTGCACGCGAGCATCACCGTCACGCGTTCCTTTTGATAGCCGCCGCTGCTGCGGATGGGCACGGAGCGGACCCCCACCTCCTCGACAGTGCGTTCAGCTGGCATTTCGAGACAGAGCGGGGTCTGATCAGCATTTATGATCCAGCGGTTGTCGATTCCGTACTGTCGGCGGGTGTGTCGCACGAACTTCCAGAAGTTTCGCACTTGCGTCTCGCACTCTGGAAGGGACGAGGAGGCAGAAACCATAAAAAAACATTAACTATCGACCGGTTGGCAATGGGGATAAACAAGAGCGAATACAAAAAGCTCACTCACCGGAGGATAGTTTCTGGCCGACACGGGTCTTAGCTCGGGTAGTGAGATTCCAGCGGCGCCGAAAACGCTCGGTCCACCTCTGAGATCCCGCCCACTTTACCTCAGGATGCAGACTCTTCATCACCTCTCGCGACCACTGCTGCAGGCGGCCGACCGACACTGCGAGGCACTTTTTCCGGGCGGCAAGTACTCGTGAGTAGACCTGGATCTCCATGTCGCGATACCACGACGACCGACCACGCCCGTGAAGACGCTTGCGAGCCCCATGCGCGCCCTCCAGCTCACCCTTCCGCGATTTCCATACTGCCAGGGACTTTCGGGAGATACCAGAGTCGCGTGCCATCTTCCGCATACTCACGGCACCGGACTCCAGCTGTGAAATCCAGTGCAGCTTCTCCTGAGAAGTATAGGAGTGCCGCTTGTGCCTTGAGCGCCTGCTCCTGGGAGACGGGGGGCGGGAATCACGATTCTGGGTGCAGGGGTGGGGCCTTTTTTTATTGGGCGGGGGAAAACTTGGGACAGGCAAGTCCTCGGGAAGACCGTCGGCCGCCCACCACTCAACATCGTCTTCGGCACCGGTGGCGGATTCGTCGTGCGGGCAGTCTTCCGGGTCTCCCCAACGTGGCGAAAGACCGGGACCGGTTTCATCTTCGTCGCTGCGCTCGGGCTCGTGCTCGGGCTCGGAGATGTACGCATCGAAAGCAAAGTAGCCGCGAGGGAGAAGCTGCAGAATGGGCACACCGTTGATGACGACGATAGGCGGAGCGGGAGGAGCAGGAGGCGCTGGAGGTGCAGGAGGCGCAGGAGGAGCAGGAGGCGCAGGAGGAGCAGGAGGTATTGGCGCTGGACGACTCTGCCACTGGGAGTAATCGGGAGCTTTGTCAGCAGCACCTCGGCGCTTAAAGAGGAAATGGGTGCCTGGTCGGCCCGCCATAGCTAAGGCAGGCCGATGGGAAACAAGAAATATGAAAAAAAACAGGGAGAATGAAGCATGTTTGAAACCCTTGCCCGAGACCCCTCCAACTTCGCGGCCCAGGTTCCTCTGCAGGCTAAGGGGAGAAACAGTCAAGATCTCCCCGCAGAGGAGCTGATGTGGTGAGGTCCAAGCGTACGGGGCAAGGAATCTTGCCCCGTTTGTGGTTTTACTGCGTCGTGGCTAGCACGACAGTCGGCCCTGATTGGGCAGTCGCACACTAAACGACGTGTGCGTTGGCATGGGCCAGATTCGGTACGATGAATCTGGCCTGGCGAGCAAGGCGTGGCGGGCGTGATTCCGCGCCTTGTTGGCAATTTGACGTGCGTTTCATGCACAACTCGAACGTTCTAGATGTGGATTGAATCCCCGTTTGAAAAGGCTTCAAATACCGTACATGTAAAAAAACACCATTTCAATTTTGCCTTTTTATAGGCGCCGGCGCTTATAAAATTCCTCAATTATAAGCGCACCCCCTAAAAAACAGTGTTTTATTATAAGCACAGGGGCGCTTCTATCCGGGGGCTGACGGTATCAGGTGTGGTGTGGTGTGATCACTCGTTCGCAATCTTAATGGAAAGTTGCTTTTCAGCACAAGGTATGTAGCGTCTAAGAGGCTGCAGCTTTAATGATAAGGTTAAACTGTGCGTGCGCCTTCATTAGAGAGGGAAAATGGCTGTTTGGGAGGACATATCGAATGTGACATTATCCCAATTCACTATCCCTTACAAACTCAATAACACTGCAGGACAGCATCGTGTAGCAACCCAGACCTAACTAACTAGTATTCAAATACGTTCGAGGCTCAAAGAAATACGTTCAAATACGCACTGTACAAAGAAATCCCTTTGAAGCTCTTTCTTACGCCTCCCAAAAGACGGTCGGGTCCTCCGCCAGCAGGGTGCGATCCTGAATCTCCAGATTTGCCACATGGCGGTCTATAACTCGTGCTTGAGCCAACTTACATGCCACAAACATGGCTGGGAACAGCAGCCACGTGAACTCCTCTGCTGCTGCTGACTCCCTGAACGGGGAAGGGAGAAAAGTTGAGCGAACGGGAAAGAAGAAACCGGGGAGGGGAGGGGAGGGGAGGGGAGGGGAGGGGAGGGGAGGGGAGGGGAGGATGGGTGGGAAAGAACGAGCACTTGAGACCTTCAAGAAAGCCAGCTACGTGAAATTCTCTGATGCGGCTGACTCGCCGATTTGCGAAAGTCAAGGGAGGGTCGCATGAGGCACTAAGATGAGGTTTTGCCGCTGACTTTCCTCTGCATCATCCCTTGACTTTCCTCTGATGCTGTTGACTCGTGCCTTTTTCTTGTTTCACGAGGCACCGAAAAGGAGTCATGCGCGGCAAAATTGCGTGGCAAAACTTCAACCAGTTTGATCTCATTTCTGCTCGAATGGGGACGATTCGCCTGGCTCGCTCTGTTGTTCTCACCTGGGAGGAGCACCTGAGGGAGTGCCCTTGTAAGTTTGCCATACATGAAACACTCCCAGGGTCACAGCAACCACCTGAAAAGGGAGTGAAAAGGAAGGGCGTGAAAAAGAGGAGAGGGTAAAAGAAGATAATGGCTAATAGAGTGGAAGGAGCCAAGGAGTCGAAGAAGAGAAAAATCACAAGAGTGAAAGGGGCCAGAGGAAGGCTGCATGGAATGCAAAAACAGAAACACAAAGGCTGAAGAAGGTTTTTGATTATGCTGCTGCTAGCCATGCAATCGCTCTGCTGATCAACCACAACAAACCCATTACCTAGCCCGCTGGCCTGCCGATTAACACGAGAATTCGAGCCTTTCGCACTCAACTTCAACCCAAACCATAGCGTGTTTTTTGAGAATTCTCAAAGAACTTCAACCCAAACCATAGCCCACTCACCCCGTTGGCAAGGGAAGTGACGTTCCACAGCCCATACACCCTCCCCAGCCCCGCTCCCCCCCTCGCCCCGTGGGCAAAGAGGGCATTCAGCCCCGCTGCTGCTGAGAAGAGCGGCGCGAGCGGCAGGACAAAGAGCATGAGAGCGAAGGCGAGGAGGGAGGTGCTGTAGGATTGCAGCAGGCAGAGGAGGAAGAGACAGAGGTCCGCCAGGAGCAGCATAGACATGGCTAGTCCCACTGCTGCCTGCATGTGAGAGAAGGGAGGGGAAAGAGAAAGAGGGGCAGGACAAAGAGCATGAGGGCGAAGGCGAGGGGGGAGGTGCTGTAGGATTGGAGGAGGCAGAGGCAGAGATCGGCCGGGCAAGCACAACCCCCAATTCAGAGTCGACTGAAAAGTCGGAAAAAAAAAACGGAACAGGACAGAATGAATAGAACTCACATCATGGCCAACAGGCAGAGTGTTCCGCAGCAGCAACCCACAGCCAGGTAGGCAGAGCCCTCGCCCCCCATCCAGCCGCTGCAGCACCTGTGCGTCTATCAACCCCCCCTGCTGCCTCTTCCCCACCCGCCCCCCCGCCGCCTGCCACAGCAACCCTGCAGAAACTGACGAAATCTGCCGCTCCACTTCCCTCCTCTCGCCGCCCCTTCTTGTGTCCTTGTCACTTAGCAAAGAGAGATTCTCAGGAATCGAGCCGTGGATGCTTCTTGCCAGACCGCTTCCCGAGCCTGTGTCGAACCTGGGAGCAAAGTGAGCCGAGCCAGCAGGACCGGGAGTAGGCTCGGCAGAGGGGAGGATTGAGAGGGACGGTCGATGTTCGAACCTGTGAGGGGAGAGAGGGGGGAGGGATGCAAGGGAGGGGCTTCGCTCCCCTCCTGACTGCTGTTGCTGCTGAGAGGGAAGTTTGACTGATAGTGCTCGAGCCGGCAACCGAATACTCAGAGCTTCTTGCTGCCTTTGCTGCTGCTGCTGCTGCTGCTGCTGCAAAGCATTCTGAGAGTATAGTCTACCAACGCCCTCCCCACCCAGTGCTGACAACGGGCGCGGTCGCAAAGGGGTGTGAGAAAGGTGAGGAGAAAGAAGAGGAGGAGGAGGATGGGGGGACTGATAGGGAGGAGTGTTCACACCCCCATACCCACCCAAACCACCTCCTCCGGTATATCTGTTCTGTGTGACTCTATTTCCTGTGACTGTAGGGGGGGAACGGCCACCAGATGTGACACTAGCGCTCCCAGCCCTGCCCGAATAACCAGCGCTGAAGCCGCCAGGTGGCAAGTAACGAGTGGATAAGCCTGCTGACGTGGCGACAGCTGGTTGGGTGGAGGCGTCTCGTAAGAGAAGGAGAGCGTCGAGTTGGGAGGGTAGGGTCATGGGGAGGGGGGGAGGGGGAGGTGGAGTAGGGGTGTGCGGTGGAGGAGGTGGGAGTGGCTGTTAACAAGTATGGGTTGTAGAGAGAGGTTGCAGGGTAGTGATTGAGGTAGGGGTTTGAGAGAAGAGAGGACGGGGAGATGCTTTGCTGCCACTGCTGCCGCCGCTGCTGCTGTTGTTGCTGCTGTTGCTGCGGTTGCTGCTGCTGGTGCTGCTGCTGCTGCCGATGCGAGTTGTGTTGGTGCGGGGTGTGTTGATGCGAGAGCGAGGAGTCAGAGCGGGAGAAGGCAGGAACCTCTGACAAGGCCTGAGCGTGCGAGGAAAGCAAAGAGACAGGAGCAAAGGCAGAGGAGGGAAGTGCCGCAGGAGGAAGAGCGGAATGGGAAAGAGTGGCAGTGCGAGGAGATGGCAATGCAGAAACAGAGCCTCCGGGTCTCGTTCTCTCTACCGGCCTTCCCCATCCTGTGTCCGAACCACCGAACCCACCCAGCCGACTGCTCCCGAAGCTGCTGCCGAAGCTGGCCAGGTTCGGCGCAGCTGCTGAAGCAAAGGAGGTGAGGCTCGGAGCAGAGAAGTGGCCGGCAGTATCGGCAGCAGCAGCAGCAGCAGCTGAAGAAGAAGGGAGATAGTCATTGCAATGATCGGTGCTCTCAGGGTGGTCGAGACACAGAGCGAGCTGGATTATGCTGGCTGATGTTGGCTGTGGTTGTAGAATCAATGGGGAAAGAGGAGAGGGAGGGGGAAGGGAGAGGAGAGAAAGGGGGGGTCAGAAAATATTGAGCTGGAGAGGACACAGGGCGAGCTGGATTATCCTGGTGTGGGGGACAGGTGGGTGCAGGAAGCGGGAGAGAGGGAGGGACGGGAAATGGAGAGGGAAGAGGGGAGGTAGTCATTGCTGAAGAAGAGAAACTGATGGAGAGAAAGTGATGTAGATAAAGTGATGGAGAGAAACTGAAGGAGAGAAACTGATGGAGAGAAACTGATGGAGAGAAACTGATGGAGAGAAACTGACGGAGAGGAACTGATGGAGAGAAACTGATGGAGTGAAAATGATGGAGAGAAACTGATGGAGAGAAACTGATGGAGAGAAACTGATGGAGAGAAACTGATGGAGAGAAACTGATGGAGAGAAACTGATGGAGAGAAACTGATGGAGAGAAACTGATGGAGAGAAACCGATGGAGAGAAACCGATGGACAGAAACTGATGGAGAGAAGGGAGGAAGGAGTGACTTTACATGGCAGCGACTGCAGTGCGGATACAGAGAGTAGGATAGGAGGAGAAGGGCAGGGCACCTGTAGCCAGGCGAGGTGTGCGGCGGACGCGTCGTGGGCTTTTAGTGGGTGGTTGACGTGCATGCACAGGCAGCGCAGCTCGGGATGCAGTGGGCGAGACCAGATGAAAGGGCAAGACAAGGATGAGGAGCAAAGCAAGGGGCGCACCTGCAGCAACCAGGGGCGCACCTGCAGCAACCAGGGGCGCACCTGCAGCAACCAGGGGCGCACCTGCAGCAACCAGGGCGCACCTGCAGCAACCAGGGCGCACCTGCAGCAACCAGGGCGCACCTGCAGCAACCAGGGGCGCACCTGCAGCAACCAGGGCGCACCTGCAGCAACCAGGGGCGCACCTGCAGCAACCAGGGCGCACCTGCAGCCAGGCGAGGTGTGCTGACACGCCGTGGGCTTCCAGCGAGGGGTTGACATGCGTGCACAGCCAACGCAGCAGTGGTTTCAAAGACCTCTGCAGGGAGCCGTGGCTGACAGTGCGGAGGTGGGCGTTCAGCCCTGCTACCAGGCGGTACCACACTGTGGGGGGGATGGCCTGGGATGGCATGTGGGGGTAGGAGGGGAGGGTGAATAGGAGGGGCGGAGGAGAGCGGCATCAATGATTGCAAAGCCAGTGCAGCAGGGGTTTCAGTGGCTTGTGCAGGGAGTCGACTTTTGAGACGCCTCAAAAGTGGCTTGTGCAGGGAGCTGTGGGTGACAGTGCGCAGATGAGCGTTCAGCCCTGCCACCAGACGGTACCACACTGTGGGGGGGATGGCCTGGGAGGGGTTGGCATGGATGGAAGGGTTGACGGCAGGGGGGATGAGAGGGTAGGGAGGGAGTTTGATTTAAGTTGAATTGAAAGAAGGTATGAGGGCACCAAATAACACACCTGACCTTAAGTACATATTTGTAAGCACGCCCAACGGCATATCTGACAAACAAACAAAAGCGCAGCTGATCTGAGAACCCACCAGAGAGCATGTCCGCATAACTGCCTGAGGAAACACCTGAGAGCACACCTGGGAGATGATGTTGGTGAGAAGGTCGTCGGTGAAGAGATGGTACGGCGCCATGTACGAGCCGTTGCCGCCCAGCACCAGCAGCAGTGGCAGGCGGTCGGCGAAGCTCGGCAGCATGTGCGTGGCCATCTCGTCGCCGCCCAGAAACACGTCCATGTAGCCCAGGACTAGATCCGGGGTAGCTGACACCTGGGGGAGGTGGCATTTGGTTTGGAGATACCAGAGGTACCAGGGGGTACCAGGGGGTACCAGGGGGTGAGAGGCGGAGACAAGACACACGTCCATGTAGCCGAGGACTAGATATGGGGTAGCTGACACCTGGGGGAGGTGGTATTTGGAGGTACCAGGTAGCAGGGAGTGAGAGGGACAAAGAAGGCAATACGTTGGTATCTAGAAACGGTGTTTTCTAGAAACAGTGGTCTCTAGAAACTGGTGTGCCCACACCAAGGAGATACTGTGGTCTTTTTAGGGAGAAGATGAAGGCTCAGACTTATACATAAGATTTGTGGTGATCCGGGGGTGAAAGGTAACACGCTCAGCACCTTGTCTCGTTTATAAAGGCCGTATGTTTCTGAGATGGAGAAATAACAGGCTCACTTGATGACGTGGCTTTTGAGTCGACTCAGAAGGTAGAAGTCACTGTTCAACTCACCTTGAGTCCTTCGTCGTAGAGGGCACGGTAGCGGCAGGAGCGCAGGCAGTAGTGGTCGTAGCCCGTGTGAACAAACTCCCTCCGCAGCGTGCCTTTTGAGTCGAATGAACCGACTCCCCCAGCCTAAATCCCCGCTCACCTTGAGCCCTTCGTATAGCGCGCGGGAGCGGCAGGAGCGCAGACACGAGTGGTCGTAGCGCGTGTGAACAAACTCCCGCAGCCGCTGCACCACCAGGCGGCGCCGCCACTGCTGCCACGACCACGCAAACGGCAGCGCGAGCAGCGCCAGCAGCGAGTGCACACACCCCTCCCACCACCGGTAGCACGCAATGGCGTTAACCTCGTCTACGAGACGGTTGTATGAGTCTTCGTATACGAGATCGGAGATTGCGCGCGGCGGGGAGTGTGGGAGGTGCAGCGGGTGCGAGAAGGAGTTGTCTCCGCAGAAAAAGACTCGGTGGACGTGTGAGGCTGCTTCTTCTACCCTCGTATTCTCCATCACCTGGTGGGGAAGTGGGGAAGTGAGAGAAGGAAACGTATTTGACTCTGCAGCGAGTGCGAGAAGGAGTTGTCTCCGCAGAAGAAGACCCGGTGGACGTGTGAGGCTGCTTCTTCCACTCTTGTGTTCTCCATGACCTGGTGGGGAAGAGGGGAAGTGAAAAAGGGAAACTTTATTTGACTCTGCAGCGGGTGTCAGAAGGAGTTCTCTCCACAGAAGAACACCCACGCACCTCATTGAGGCACTCTAGGAAGGGCAGCGAGTGGCCCATGTGCGAGCGAGGACACATTCGAATCCCTCAATTGAGGCGACAAGACAGCAGCACACCCCAGAGCCACAACCCACGCACCTCGTTCAGAGACTCCAGAAAAGGCAGGGAGTGGTCCATATGGGAGGACACATCAGAGTCCCTCGTCTGCGGCTGGGCCAGATCGTCCCCTGCCAGCAGCAGCACGGAGAGAGTGCACGCCAGGTCGAGCACCCACGCACCTCGTTCAGAGACTCCAGAAAAGGCAGGGAGTGGTCCATATGGGAGGACACATCAGAGTCCCTCGTCTGCGGCTGGGCCAGGTCGTCCCCTGCCAGCAGCAGCCTGGCGCGCGCGAGAGTGATCGCAAAGCCCAGCAGCAGCACAGAGAGCGTGCATGCCAGCGCGAACACCCAGGGCCCGCCCAGGTCGCGGATTAGACCTTCCATTGGTGTGTCGCAGTGGGGCAGGGAGAAGTGCGAGGAGAGACAGCGGTAGGGGCAGGGAGTGGCACTGGCGCCGCCTGGAAGGAGGGAAGGGAGCGGGTGAGGGGAATGGGAGGGAGGGAGACGATATTCACGGACCCAAAGTACTGAATCAACGCATCGTTTGAGTTGAGGCGCCTCAACAGCCACAACACATGGACGCTCGCATGCATCCCATCCCACCGCTGGTTTTTGAGAATTCTCAAAAACCACATCGACGCTCGCATGCATCCCATCCCACCACGTTGGGGAAAACCAACTCCCTCCCTCCCTCCCTGCATGCATGCATGCACCATACCTCCCATGCAAAGCACCCCCCGTGCCATAGCAGCTCGAGCGGGCTCGGTGTACCTCCCATACATACCTCCCATACATACCTCCCATACATACCTCCCATACATACCTCCCATACATACCTCCCATACATACCTCCCATACATACCTCCCATACATACCTCGCTTGTAGGCGAACTCAGCATGGCGAGCCAGCAGGTCGAGCGGGCAGCGCAGGAACAGGGAAGGATCAGAGCCCGACTGGCTCTTGAAGGTTCCCACGGGGCACTCCTCAGACAACAGCCCCACCAGCCGTCCCTGGTGGGGCCAGCAATCACACCACAGAACCGCATCCAACCACATTGTACTTACCTCGCTTGTAGGTGAATTCAGCATGGTGTGGCAGGAGGTCAAGCGGGCAGCGCAGGCAGAGAGAGGGGTCAGATCCGGACTGGCTCTTGAAGGTGCCCACAGGACACTCCTCACACAACAGCCCCACGAGCCCCGGTGGGCAGTCTGCTGATCCTGTCAGTCCCGCCTCGCCATCCTCCCCCTCGTAGCTTCCCTGCCCTCCACTTGTTCTAATAACGTCAGTCCAGTTCCCCTCGATAGTAGCACGAGGGGTGTACTCATCCCCTCGCGTCCGCTCCAGGTTTTGCCATGCAAAGTACACCTTCCCTCCGCCCCCTCCACCTCCCCCCACCGAATGCCCCTGCCCCCCTGCAGCCGATATCACAGACCCACGAGTCATGTTCAGGTAAGCTGCATGAATCACCACTGTTCCCCCTGCCCCTCCTCCCACCCCTCCGCTTCCCACTTCCTCGCTTCCGCCTGTCATTCCCACTTCCTTGCCCTCCAATCCTGCTCCTCCGCTCCCCACTCTCCTTTCTCCGCCCCTCACTCCTCCTCCTCCCATCCCCAATCCCATCCCTTCGCCCCCTACAGTGCGTGTGTTGAGAAACGAGCCGTCTGCTGCCAGAGAGCCGCCCCACAGCTCCAGACGAGCCACAGGACCCAGTACTGGCCGGGGGGGGTTGGGGAAGGGAAGGGGGAAAGGATGGGAGAGGAAGGAGAAAAAGAGAGACTCGCCTCCCACAGTACGCGTGTTGAGAAACGAGCCGTCTGCTGCCAGAGAGCTGCTCCAGAGCTCCAAGCGAGCCACAGGGCCCAACACTGGGGGGGAAACGGCGAAAAGGGAGGAAAGCGGAGAGCAGATGGGAAGAAAATGAGAAAATAAGGCTCAACGCGAACACCTGCTGCCAGAGAGCCGCCCAGAGCTCCAGGCGAGCCACAGGGCACAGCGCTAGGGGGAATGGGGGAAAACGGAGAGCGGGGAGGTAGAGGAAAACTAAGTCTCAAAGCAGACGTCACCCGCCTATCACCGCACGCACTTATCATCTCACTCTCACCTTTCACCTCACCCGCTTATCATCTCACTCTCACCTTTCACCCACTTATCACCCCACCCACCTATCAGCCCGCCTCCGCTGTTCCCCCGACCCTCCGGCCCCAGCCCACCCCCACTCCCGACACTGCAGGGCGGCATCGTTCGTCCGTATGCAGCGCCTCCTGCCGCCCGGGACCCGTTGAAATGGCCGGCACCGCCCTTGCCCCCATGCCCTCCTCCGCCACTGCCCCCTGCTGGTGCGTCCCTGCCATGCCCCACGCCATGGCCCGGCGGGCAACCTGGTGGGAAAACAAAAAGGGGTTGAGCATGGAAGGGCGGGCAGACAGGAAGGTGAGAGAGAGGAGAAAAAGGGTCTTTCTTTCCCCCATGCCCCCCTCCTCCACTCCCCCCGGCTGGTGCGTCCCTGCCATGCCCCACGCCATGGCCCGGCGGGCAACCTGGTGGGAGCGGGGGAAAAGTAGAGTGAGAAAGAGCAAAGAAAGAGCCCTTCGTCTTCCCATGCCCCCCTCCTCCGCTTCCCCCTGCTGGTGCATCCCTGCCATGCCCTACCCCATGGCCCGGCAGGCAACCTAGAGGGAAGGAAAAAGGGGGTTGAGCACAGGAAGGCAGACAGGAAGGTGAGCGAGAGGAGAAAGAGAGGCGTTCTTTCCCCCATGCCCCCCTCTCCTCCATTACCCGCTGCTGGTGTGTCGCTGCCATGCCATGCCCCACTCCATGGCCCAGCAGGCAACCTAGTGTACAGGGCCCAGAAGGGGACAAGGAGGGGACAAGGAGGGGATAAGGAGGGGACAAGGAGGGGATAAGGAGGGGATAAGGAGGGGACAAGGAGGGGACAAGGAGGGGACAAGGAGGGGACAAGGAGGGGACAAGGAGGGGACAAGGAGGGGACAAGGAGGGGACAAGGAGGGGACAAGGAGGGGACAAGGAGGGGACAAGGAGGGGACAAGGAGGGGACAAGGAGGGGACAAGGAGGGGACAAGGAGGGGACAAGGAGGGGACAAGGAGGGGACAAGGAGGGGACAAGGAGGGGACACGGAGGGGACAAGGAGGGGACAAGGAGGGCCCAAGAATTCTCAAAATCAACCTCAAACAAAATGGGCCCAAGGAGGGGACAGCAGATCAGGGTGAAGAGAAAACAGAGAGGGGTGGGGAAGGGAGAAGGTGAAGAAGAGGAAAAAGACTGCTGACAATTCCCCGATGCCCCCCTCCTCCACTCCCCCCGGCTGGCGCAGCGCGTCCTCCTCGCCATGCTCTATGCCATGACCTGGCAAGCAACCTGCCATACAGCTGCCACTCACCAAGGCCGGAGGCAGAGATGGAGGCTCAGTGGTCGATGACAAGTGAGGAGGAGGCATGTATGCGCACCAATGAAGTGAGGAAGGTAGGAAGGCTTTTGAGACATCTCAATAGGCATGTATGCGCACCAATGAAGTGAGCAAGGTAGGAAGGGAACGAAGGTGATAGTGAGGATACCGATACGCTTTCTTCCAAGAGAAAGCAACTGCCATGAACAGGCCTCTCTAACCGCACAACTTCCACTCACCAAGGCCAGACGCAGAGATAGAGGCTCGGTGGTCGATGACAAGTGAGGAGGAGGCATCTATGCGCACCAACGCCCCCTCCATTGCCCCTTGCAATGCCCCTTGCACATAAACAATGTACCAACACCTCTAACCATGCACCTGGCACTCACCAAGGCCCGAGGCAGAGATAGAGGCTCGGTGGTCGATGACCAGAGAGGAGGAGGCATCTATGCGCACCAATGCCCCCTCCATCGCCCCTTGCACGTACAGGCTGTCGAGACGACAGACCTGCACAGGTGGAGGAGAGGAAGGCAAAATATAGGTTTCGCAAGGAGGGAGGATGATGGGGAGGGCAACGGATGTGGACTTTCTGTGGCTTGAGACGTCTCAGAACAGTTTTGTGAGGAAGGGAGGAGGATGAGGGAGGGCCGGAAGCAGTTATGGAAGGATGTGGACGAAACGAATGAAGGAGCATGAGGTGAGGGAAGTCACATGGAGGGAGAAGGGAGATTCACTTTTGAGGCGCCTCAAAAGAACTCACATGGAGGGAGAAGGGAGATTCATCCTCGCTGCTGCAGTCGTGGTTGGGCTGCACCACACTGGACGGACACTCCTCCACATGACAGTACGGCAGGTCACCTGTCTGCACTGCAAACCCCCCATACTGTGACGCCACCGCAGAATAGGAGGAGGAAGAGGAGGAGGAAAAGTTACTGCCCCAGCGCCCACTTGTCACCTTGCCACTGTTTGGCTGCCGCTGTACCAGAGAGACGCTCGGCTGTAGCGGGGAGTCTGGCTGTAGAGGAAAATCCGGCTGTAGTAGTGAGTAGTAGTTTGGATTGCTGCTGCCGCCCTCAGAGAGTGACTGGAGGTGGAGGAGGGCGGCGTGAGAGAGAGGGGCGGCAATCCGGCTGCCGCCCAGAACCCGGACAGCGATGAACATGGAGATGAGGAGCTTTTTGGCGGTTAGCAGGCTCCTGCCGCCCAGAGCCAGCTCGTTCTGTCCGTGCAGCCACACGTGACCCGAGCTGACCAGGGAGGAACCGCCCTGAGAATGGGGGGGGTTGGAGAGGAGGAGGGGCAAAGGGGTTCAGTAAGAGTCAGGAAGGATCAGAGTCTATTGAGTGAAGCAAGCGAGGAAAAGAGAGACAGCTAGCTCGTTCTGCCCATAAAATGAAACTATACGACTTTTGAGACGTCTCAAAAGTCATTCTGCCCATAAAATGAAACTATACGTGGCGTGAGCTTGGCAGGGAAAAACCGTCCTGAAAGGAAAGACAGGGAGGGGGGGTTGAATTGAGAGAGCAGTGGGGTGGAGAGAAGGGAGAGTACGCGCATTATGCCTGCCCATGCCGGTGCAGCCACACGTGGCGTGAGCTGACCAGAGAGGAACCGCCCTGAGAGATGGGCGGGAAGGAGGGAGGAATTTAAGCTCACATGCCCACCTAGGACCCAACTACACTGAGTATTGCGGGAACGAGAGTCAGACAAAGTTGCTTGCTTCTGAGTCTACTTTTGAGCCTGGTTCACTCGTTGTTTGACTTGAGTTGCCTGAGAGGACAGAAACGGAACTTACAGTAAGGGAGAGGTAGTTGCCATCAATGCTTGAAAATCCCATGGATAGTCCGCTCTTATGCGGCTTCCTCCCGTTGGCCCCTCGCCTCCCCTTGCTGCTGCTACTGCTAGTTCTGCCACTCTCACTGCCACCACTGCCGTTGCTGCTACCGCTGCCATCACCACCACTGAGCTGGCGAGCCGTGCAAGCAGCAGCAGCAGCAGCACCAGCGAGCTGGTGTATGCGCAGAGAGGAGGTGGAGTGCAGGTTGAAGTGCGAGGCGAAGACCTTGATCGTCCCATACACCTCCAGAGTCGCATTCGTGAGTGTCAGATTCGCCACCACCACCTCCACCTCCGCCTCATCAGGATCCAACGGTGGAGATGGCGCCGGCTGATCTCCCCCTCCGCCCCCTCCGCCCCCCCCTCCCCCCGTGCTGCTTCCAAACAGCACACTGGAACCTTCTCGGAACCACACGCAGGATCGGATTCGGAGGCGGAAGTTTCGGGTGAGAGCGACGACTTTGGCCCCCCCTTCCACTATAATGCCGTCCCAGTAGGGGTACAGCGGCACAGTGAAGAGCGGTGTGAAGGTGTGCGAGGGCTGGTTGGAGTTTCCTATAACGAGGGTTTGTTTGGCCCAGTTGAAGACTGTTCCAGCTGAGCCTGCGTTATAAGGGCAGGCCTCACTGGGTCCCCCAGTGGCTTGGATGTATAGGGCGGGGGAGAGGGCGGATGAGGGGGAGGGGGAGGCGGAAGGGGACGGGGAGGAGGGGGAGGGGGAGCGGGAAGTTGGGGGGGGCTGGTATTGGATGGCCACGCGCCCCCCTGCGCCTCCCCCGTGTCCCTTCCCCCCATTGGCGCAGATGCGCCCAGTGCCTTGGCTGGTGGGGAGTGGTGGGGGGAATGGGGGGAGAGACGGGGACGAGGAGGGGCGGAGAGGTTAGAGGAAGAGAAAGTGCCCAGTGGATGTGTTGGATTAAACAGGAAGAGTAAGGAAAATGATTTAGACGTCTCACAACTAGAGAAAGTGCCCAGTGCTTGTGTTGGATCAAACAGGAAGAGTAAGGAAAAGCGGAGAGAGGGAGTGACGGGAGATGGGGGAGGGAGGAGGGCGGAAGGTGGTGTGTGGGGGGTGGGAGGGGGGGGGGGTGGAGGGGCGGGGAGAGGGAAGCGGCGAGGAGGGGGAATTGGGGAGGAGAGGAGAGAAAGAGGAGCGGTAAGCAGGGGAAGGTGGAGGGGGACTGACTTACATTGACGAGGCATTAACAAACACACTCCCACCGGACCCTCCCCCCCCAAGCCTCCCCATGCTGCCCATCTGTGCATCCCCCCCATCCGCGTCTATCCGCCCCTCCACCACCACATCCCCCCGCACCACAATGCGCACTCGCCCTCCCCCCAGCCCCCCCCCATCCGCCTCCCCCAACGCTCCCCCCTTGCTACCCGTTTTCCAGGGATCTGTGAGGGTAGACCAGGCATACGCATCTCCCCCCCATGATTCCGCCTCCGCCCCCCATCCGCCTCCGCCCCCGCTCTCCCCCATAGCACTGTTCCCTCCGCCCACGCCACCCCTGCCGCTGCTGCCGCTCCTGCCGCTCCTGCCGCCCGCATTGCCACTGTTCATGCTCCTGTGCATGGCACTGTTCACGCTACAAGACGCTCCTCGCCCACCGTACCCGCCGCCCGACCCCTTCCCATCGGTCGGCGTCCCACTTGTCTGATCCGGCGCCTTTGCAGCCAGCCCCTTGGCCGTTACTGCCGCCCCAAACCCCACAGTCAGCCGCCCGGTTTCGACCAATAGCGTGCAGGCTGCCAGGCTGGCACCTTCTCGCAGCATGACAGCTGTCGCCATGCGAATGGAGAGGGAGCAGTCGGGCTGGGCGGCAGGAGGTGGTCCCTGGACGGCAAAAAATGACCTATTATTGCGACTGCTGCTGCTGCTGCTGCTGCTGCTGCTGCTGCTGCTGCTGCTGATGATGATGATGGTATTACTGCTGCTATCACTACTCCTGCTGCTACTGTTGCTTTTCCCACCAGCTATTCCGCATGCCAGGCTGGCACCTGCAAGAATCTCCAGCGTGCCGTTTCCAGAAACCTCCGTCCCGTCAGGAACCAACACGTGGCTGCTGATTTGACACGTGGCGTCCAGAGAGCCCACCCCGCCAAGATCATCCTCGCAGCTGATCGCCCTGTACGCGATAGTAGCCGTGTTCCGCGCTACACTGCCGTCGGTTTTCGAACCAACGTTACTTCTACTGCCGATGCTCCTTCTAGGCGCAATGTACTCAATATACTCGTTTCGTCTCGTCTTTTTACTGATGTCGAGTGCTTCAGTAGGGAGAGATACATTGTAACTGTTATTTCGATGCCAAACCGCTGGATGATCGGAAGCAGCGGAGGACGGGAAAGAATTAGGGAATTCAGAAACAGCCACTCCTTGTACGACAAACGAACCTCCTAAAACGAGTACGCCGAGCAGCGGGAAGATACGCACCCGCCATAAACGCAACAACCCACCCCCGAATTCTGAAGGGAATAGCTTGGAGCAATTCCGGCCACGGCTCGCGAGGCTCGCGACGGGTAACCCGGCAAGGCATCTTGGCGTCGCCACTGCGTGCTGGTCCTTGGAAATGATGCAGTCCATGTCGTCAATAGACGGGCTGAGAACGTATTCTGCTTTATAATCTACCTGTCTGGAACCGCCTCAAAAAGGAAAGAAACGAAGAATCCTTCCCGAAAGTATAGGATCCATTACGCACGTTTGGGATAGAACCTCCTCATAACGCGGCATCACGGTGATGCACATGAGGCTCTACAACACGGCGTACAAGAGGCTGCGTATTCTACCGCACACGAGCGCTACATGGCTTGATGCTCGGCCGCGCTCGCGATTAGCAAACGATGACGAGTCGTCCATTCAAGCGTGGCTTACAGAAACGAAAGTTGAAGGGGAGGGAAGAGCCAAGAGACAAACACCCATGGGTGAGGCGAGAGACCAATCTATATTCGGAGGGAATACATTTCTGAACAGCTTTACGTGCTGGGTGGACGCGATACAAGAGTTTCTCAGGGGAAAGAAGCGTTTCGCGGTTTCACAAGACATGAGGGATACTCGGTGAGCTAGAGTCACAATGAAGCCTAAAATCCTAAGAGATAAATCAACCAATAATGACAAACGCGTTAATTACACATGCTCACTTGATCTACGCAATATATGTTGAGGTAATATATAATACCATAGTACAATAACATATACGCAATAAAAAATACATCAATAGATACCATAACCGGGCATGAATCATGATGCTAGAGGCACTCATTGGAACCTGCTGCCACGTGCTGCATGTAAGCTTGTGACAACTGGAGTTTCCGGGCCTGCAGATGACACACCCGAGTGAAGACCATCAGTCTAAAAGCCATAAGAACATGAGACATCAATTGCCCTTAATCTAACCATTTATGCTCACCTGTAGATCTTCTATAAAATCCACTGCAGCATGCAACAATGTTGCTGTGTCAGTTCGAGAAGAGAGCTTATTCCAGCGCTTCTGATGCATCCACAACGAAGGGATGGTCTTCGCCAGCCGCTTGAATCCGTCACTGTAGAACAAGGGAGTGGCAGAACAGTGCACTTGTTAAATCTCAAATAAAAGATGGGACAGAGGTGAAACAGTTTCAAGCACTGCTAGACTTACCTGACCCGGTGTCTTCTAAGCTTCTCAGTGGCGCTTTTGCTTCGAACAGGCCGCTGCTCAAAGTTTAGCCCCTTGTTGCCACCCTTGTTTCTCCAGCTTGAGTGTCCATATTGTGATGGATGGGCTTCCCCTCGTGCAGGCAATTCAGCAGCACCACCATCAGCAGTAGCAGCAGCAGCAGCAGCAGCAGCAGCAGCAGCAGCAGCAGCAGCAGCAGCAGCAGCAGCAGCAGCAGCAGCAGCAGCAGCAGCAGCAGCGGCGGCGGCGGCAGCAGCAGCGGCAGCAGCAGCAGCAGCAGCAACAACTGGACGGTTCACAGCAGCAGAGCCAGCAATGTGGACCAAGGATCCAGAGGCTGAGATTAGAACAGGGGCTTCCACTCTTGTCCCGGGGAGCTCTAAATCAACGCTGGAACATTCACGAGACTTAACAATAACAGGAGCACATAGGGGAACACCAGGCGCATCAAGAAGACAAGCACTCATCATTGGGTAAGTTCCAGACACCATCCAAGCACTGTCATCACTGCCACCAATAGTGCTGGTTGCTGAATTCAGAGAGACTGTACCTAAGCTGATGTCAGAGCTTTTGGTACCCAGTGCTTCACCCACCAAGCACTGCTTTATCCAAGGCCACATGCCCGGGGCCTCAGCAATCGGATCTTCATCGCACCAGCTGCCAGAACCCTTGCGCTTGAATCTCCCCGATACAACCATGTCGTACAGCGTTCCAACATGCGTTGCTAGGGTGTTCTCACTGGGAGTCAACAGGGTCTCATCGTGGGTGTCGCCTCCTGCCGCCGATGTCAGCGCTTTTTGAGAATCTTCCAATAGCATTCCACCATGCGCAGCTATGGTGTTCTCACTGGTAACCAGGATTCCAGCAGAGCTGTCAGCCGCTCCTCCACTGATAGGGTGTGTCGGCGCTGCTTGTGCTGTCCTCGGTGGCAGCAGCTCCTCTTGGGCGAGACATTGAACAGGAGGAGAATGCAAAGTCGTGGGTGACACAGTATCTGGCAATGCAGCAGCAGAAGCAGCAGCAGCTGCTGCAGGAACAGTAACAGTAACAGCTGAAGTGTTCGCCACTGAATGGCTCCCATGATGGCCTAAAATAGGCGCTGGAACCGCAGCTGCTGCTGTCATCGGTGCGAAAACAGGATCTGTCATTGAGGACTGAGTCAGTATGTCGGCATGTCCTCCGCCTGATGACATGCTGGGACATGTCAGGTCTTCCACCCGGAACGATTCGGACTCAAGAATTGAGGCGAGGAGGCTCGTCCAGCCTTGTATTGGAGCAGCTTTTCCTGGGACTGAATCACTGAGGGCGGACGATACCGCCATGCTGTTCGCCGTACCGACAACCAAAAAAAAAAAAAAAAAAAGCGAACGATCGGACGTCACAACGTCCGCGCAGGCTCTCATGAGCACTGGACCACAATCTTCAGTTGCTCCCACAATTTCCTGGACCAACCCCCCCGTTTGCTGCAGCTTCCAGGAGATGTGTAATCCGTCGCAGTTTGCAGCGCACTCCGACGAGCAGCGCAAGTCAAGAAAAGGCATCGGGACGTCAGGGAGTTCCGTCATACTAGTACTATGGAGTAGTAAGTAGAATCTCTTGTTCCCGATTCGTGTGACAAAAAGTAGAATCTCTCATCCACGAGAAGCAACAAAAGGAAACGGACCCGAAAGGCCTCTCACCTAGCGACGACAGGCAACGGGCCTCTGAAACTTTCAGTTCCACTGGAACCTAATATCGGACCTGTAAGTCACGTACTAAGAGTAAAGTGTCTGGGATGTCCATGCATCACTCTAGCACCATACTACGCGCACAAGCCGCACTCTCCCACGCCCATGTGGAGCATACAGTGGTCGGATGAATCCAAGCTCAAGTACTGTGCGGAGTTGATGAAACTACGTGGTGGAGGTAGCACCACGTCACGTGGAGTGAATATACATCATGAATGTTCCGGACGTCAACGATTTGACAGCGCCAAGTCGGCGCAATCATTGCTGAAAAGAGCTGCGACGCGAACGACGCGGGAATACTCTACTACGAGCACGCTGAACAATCAGTGTGCCTGGCGTTAGGGCGTATCTTTGGTTCGGGTCATGGCACTGCTCAGCTTACTGTTCGGGCCATGCGGAAATCGCGCAGACCCAAAGTGGCCTTCTGAAGCGCGAAATAGGTGGCGTTTTGTGCTGTTTGGGTCATGCGGAAAACGCGAATGACCCGAAGTGACCTTATGACCCGAACCAAAGATACGCCCTTAATGATCTTATGAGTGCTGGAGCCAACAAAGTGTCACTCACGAGTTCGGCGAATACTACTAGTACACGTACGACGATAACGGAGAATCTGTACGCCTCTCGAAGCTTCGGATATTCGGTCTGACAGGGAACTGTAGTACACATGGCGCTTCCGGAACGAGCAGTCCTATACTACGAGTGGTTCTTGCAAAACGAGGTGCTGCGATGTGTGGATAATATTAACTCTTGCAAAATCTACTACACCCTGTTTCGCGCTAGCAGAGCATCTGGTTGCAGAACATGCACTGGTTGTAGAACGTCACCACGTTTGAAATGGTCTTATCACCGACGGTACAAGCACATTCACAAGAAAGCGGTTAGCTAGGATGCTGCATGGTAAAGAACAGTAACCAAGCGTTTCAAAGCGGTTGAAAAGGGTATACAGCGATAAAGAAAATTTTTGCCCCCAGTACCACTCCGTCAGCTGGTGCGGCTTTGCCCGCAGGTTTCAGCCATACGGTTTATGGCACCTGACCGCACTGTAGCAGCGAATCGCGCAAGGTGAGAGGGTCGAGAAACAGGGTGTACACCCTCATTCTCGGCCTACGCACAATTGGGAGCCCTGGCAACAGTGCGTACTGTTGCTTGGACCCTAGCGATCTGGTGCTTGGAGCCGAACCCTAGGTAGGTGGCGGGTAAATGCACTCCATTGTAAGGAAAATTCCCTTTCCTTACTTCGCATCCCCGCTCAACGCGTACATCACTGTAGCACCTCAGTCAGCACCGTTACCACTCGCATCAATAATCCGCCCGCCATTTTTCGCATGTCGCACCCCGACCTCACGGCTCGGCGGTAACCCGCGCTCCGGACCTCCGCCTCGACACTTTTCCCAACCTCAGTCCCAGGCCCGTCGCGCGACAACCACAGTCCATTAACCGTTACCACTGTAGTTTCGCTATATAATCCTTCGCTCATGCCTTCGCTCATTTGTACTCTTGCTTCGATAGTGCAATCTTCGTTCGCTCACTCCATTGCACCCGTAACACTTGGTATTCAGAGCCTACGATCTCTTCTCGGACCGCATTCACACCTTCGTTTCCCCACTATCTCAATTTTTGGGGGGGGGGTAGACGTCTCTCAGCGATTAAGCACCGCCGCTCGTAGTGCTCTCTTGTAAGCACGCACGGCCACGACAGAGGCTCTCGCTGCGCTTGACCGACACCCCCGCCATGGCTGAATTTACGCTCGCGACGTTGACGCAAGAGCAGCTTGACCGTCTGATCCGTCAAGTTGAAGATTCAGCACTCGAGATTGCGACGCTCACGGCAGAACGTGACTCCGCGCGTCAGCAATCTGCGGCGAATGCTCCAGCGTCACAAAATGCACCTGCACAGTCAGACGAGCCGATTGTCATCTCGTCCGGCACACCAACACAGCACAACAGCGTGGGACAGCGCTCAGGCGCAGCCAGTGACAGCGCCGCCCAGCCAATGCCTGGTATGGGAGGAAACCGGGCCGCACCAAGCCCACGGAAGCCTCGTGAAGCCCGTCGGCACGTGGAGTTTGCGGCAACAAGTGGCGACCAGGCAATCATGGCGCCGATGCCACTCAAGCCGCAGCGCCCGCCCTGTTTCGACCCGAGCCAGCGTGGTGGTCCGACGGTTCAGTCGTGGATCTTCACGATGAACGTGTTTTTTGACGCGAACTACGTGTCAGAATATTATCTGATTGTTCTAGCCTGTAGTGGGGTGCTCTATAGCGAGTACAACCCTTCTAGGGTTTGCTATTTGTATCCTCATTCTTGCTAGTTCAATCCTCTTTCTTTCTTCTAATTTTGACATGCTATCAGAGCAGGTCGATCCCCTTGGATCGATCCTGTGGGTGTGTCCCCACCTTGCTTCCGCTGCTACTTTTTCATCCCGCCGTGCGCCCCGAGGCGCGCGGCGGTTTTCTGCCCGCCGTGCGCCCCGAGGCGTGCGGCGGTTCATTGCCCGCTGTGCGCCCCGGGGCGCGCGGCGGGCTTCTCCTCTACGTCGCGGCCCCGCCCCGGCCCGTCGCCGCCCGTGCGCCTGCCCGGCTCGGCCCCGCCCTTCGTCGCGGCCCCGCCCCGGCCCGTCGCCGCCCGTGCGCCTGCCCGGCTTGGCCCCGCCCTACCTGTCGCGGTCCCGCCCCTCCGTCGCGGCCCCGCCCCGACCGTCGCGGCCCCGCCCCTCGTCGCGGCCCCGCCCCTGCGTCGCGGCCCCGCCCCCCTCGAAGCGGCCCCGCCCTACGTCGCGGCCCCGCCCCGGACCCTATGCGGCCCCGCCCTACCTTCGCGGCCCCGACCTGTCGCGGCCCCACCCTACGTCGCGGTCCCACCCCGACCGTCGCGGCCCCGCCCCTCGAAGCGGCCCCGCCCTACGTCGCGGCCCCGCCCCTCGCCGCCCCGCAAGCGGCCCCCTCAGGTCGCCTCGACAGGACGACGGGAGGGGCGAGCTGTGGGGTGGCGGGTATGGGGGTGGCCGGTGTGCCTTCCTCCCTTTCTCCTCCTCCTCCTTCGTCTCCCACTGCTGCAGCTGTCGCTGAGGGGGGTGGTTGTGTGGGAGACTGGGGTTTAGGGTTTTAGGGGGGTGCGTGGGAGTAGAGCTAGTGGTGTAGCAGTGGGTGTGTATCAGGGGGGTGGGACTGTGTGCGGGAGGATGAGCGGAGGTTGCCAGTTTGTCGTCAGCAGCACCTGTAGTCCGGGGCGCTGTCCCGGTAGCCCAGTCGTAGCCAGCTGTGCCAGCCGCCCGTGGGTCCGTTGCCCGTCCGCCGCTATTTGAGCCGCGGGGCCTGTTACCCCTGTAGTCCGGGCGCTGTCCGGTAGCCGCTGTGCCAGTCTGCCTCCTGTTGCCCGTGTGTCTGCAGCTTCAGCCGTCGCCTCCTGTCTCCTCTCCCCTCACTCTCCCTCCTCCTCCTCACTTGCCCGTTGTGACTACCACTAGCTTTGCTTATAATTGTAAACTCTAAACTATTTCTTCTTGAACTTGTGCTCAGAATGTGTGGTGACATTGTGATCCACCCTGAGCTTGTTTTGCTTTGCCTACTCTGCTGATTACACCCCACTTTGGCTATGGGGGTGTGTCAGAATATTATCTTATTGTTCTAGCCTGTAGTGGGGTGCTCTATAGCGAGTACAACCCTTCTAGGGTTTGCTATTTGTATCCTCATTCTTGCTAGTTCAATCCTCTTTCTTTCTTCTAATTTTGACACTACGTCGAGTCGGACGCACCGAAGATACGAT